ACGGCGGCGACGTGGCTTCATCTCTTTAGCGCGAGATGTCTTTCTCGCTCCTAGTTTGTCGGTGCCCCCGTGATCGCGCGACTCCACGTTGAGTTCCGATGACAAACGCTGGCCCCCCAAGACGACCCCCAGCCCCCCATTTAAAATGTAGATATGCTGCACCTGCCTTCGGCGCCAGCCCCGAGATGTAGCGCGCGCCCAACAAACTCGATAATTGGTATCGGAAATTCCACCCGATGCATCTCTCGCAAGCGGCCCCCCCGTCTTTGCCCGCGGTGAACTTGTGCATCAGTGGCGAAGCGCGCGATGCCATCCATGGAATTAGTCGGTGGTTTCCAATGGGCTCTGTCGCGTAACTGGGGTCTACTGCGCCCTTGACTTCTCGTTCCCACTTGCACTTGAATTGTGTTGACCGCTCGTTCTGCACCACCGTCGGCTGCGGAGTTTCCCACTGGGCTCATCCTGGCCCCCGTGGATCTGCCCGGCGGTGATTCAACTTCACCCTGTCACGAAATTTCGAACCATTTCCCGTGCCCGATGATAGAGATCACGTCGTCGGTCAACTCGGTTGAGTGGACGCGTGAACCCATTTCCTAATCGCTCTGCTCTATGCCAGATCACTCCCGCGACCGCGCATGACAAATATGGGGCCGCCAGAGTCCGTTTCTTCACTCGCATCACCTCTGATCCTGTCCCACGCGCGCCTACTTTTGAGCCGCATAATCCGCGGAGATCGCAGGGCCTTCATCGGGGCCGACTTCGTTTTACACAATGAGGACACCATCTGTGAAACGCTGAACGGCTGATGTTGTGCAGATCGAATTCGTCTATGCTCGGCCTCGGGTCGTGCGCTACTCCGTTCGCGCCCTCAGCCTTCTCGGTTACGAACGCGCCCCATTCATCTCGCTGTCCCCCCACGTCGGCGCCCCCCCTGTTCACCTGCGCCTTTCCTGCTCGCGTCGCAAATTTCCAGGTTCGTCGGTTGGCGCTCGCGGGGTCTACTGGACAGACTCTCCCGGAGGGAATCCCTGCCTCGGAGAAACCCCTCGTCGCCCCATTCGCCCACGTGCTACGCTTGCTTTTCGTTTGTGCACGCACGGACATGGATGGCGACCTGGAACGCCCCGTTTGCTCTCGGGCCACCGACCAGATGCCCAAGACCCTTCGCCCGAGGTAGTTGCGCAATCTGCCGTGACTGCGCCTGCCCAAAACTCTCTCGTTATACTCGCGGGGGTGCGCCAAAGGCGCCCGGGCGGACCAAGGTAGGTCATGCGAACTTCGTATCCGCCGGTGTCCATGTCTGGCAGTGGCTGCCCCAGGTAATATCCCCTGCGGCCGCCGTTAGCGTGTCGAAGTTCATTCGCGCCCTTGGTGAATTTGGTGGTGATGTGTCCTTCCCACACTTGTAGCACGTTGTGTCTCCCTTCGTTTTCCTTCTCGACGTTGGTTCTCGTTCTGAACGTTCTAACTTCCATATTCTATTGTCCACCTGATTTCATCGTCATTGTTGTCCTCCTGGTAACTGCACGCGCACTTGCCCGACCGGTCCAAGTTGTCTTCTTTGCCCGCCTTACCAATGTCAACGGCATCTCTGTTGAAGTCTCAGATGCGAGCCCATGCAGCTTCTGGCTGGACTCGGAGGTCAGCGAATCGGGTTTTCACGAGCAGTTCTGATGCCAGCCGCCGAACAATGATCTCACATGTGTCGTGCTGATCTTTGCGGCCGTTACCTTGAAGGCGAATGGGAACTCATATTCGCAGACTCCTCCACCAGTGAGTTCCACTGCGCCAGCCGAACTGATGTGTCACTTACCATTAAGGGGTTTTCGGGCTGCATCGCTGACCGCATCTTGGCTGATAGGGTTACTCCAGCTGCCGCAGAGTAATATTTTTAGATATGTATATATATATATATATATATATATATATATATATATATGTACACAAACTCATGCGCGCAATCCGCCCTTAACCCTCTCTTGCACCGTGCAGGTTTGCCTCACGCCTCGATGCTGTCCAACTTGTCAGTGAAACTGTAGCACAGGTCTTCGTCGAACTCGGTGATCCTATCCTCGTCGAGGGTGTCGTCTTCTGCTTCATGGTCTTCCCCGCTTTGTTTCACACGTCTGTGGCGATTGTATTATGTGCCTGCCATGCCTGGCGTAGCATCCTTATTCTGCCCCCGTTCCTCCCTGGGGTCGGGGATGGCACCGTCCATCGTTCCCGTTCCGCCTTCGCGTCTAGCGTTTCGAAAAGCGGTTTCCAATGTTGAATGGGCCGATGCGTTGAGCAGCCGCTCCTTCCATACGCAGAACCCCGTCTTTCCACCATTGATGGTTTGTAAAGGTTGGATGACTTTGAAATCGCTTACGGGTTTGTGGTGTATTATGTTCTCCTGGGTCCGATCTTGTTTACCATCCGAACTAATGTTGTATTCGTGTCCATCGTTTCTGCGAGTCCGCTTTTCGGGTCAGTTACCCCCGATCTCATCATGCCAGTGTTAGCCTCCCGCCTGCTTTCCTGCCGAATATGCTCAGTAACGCCACGTGCTGTCTGCCGAACGTTTTCATCATTGGTATCGCACGCTCGGTTGGCAGCTCTTGATTGCGTGTGCGTTCGCGCTCATGCAAATACTTTGTCATCGCGTCGCGGTTCGCCTGCAACACGGCTTTGGCAAGCTCTAAGTCACCTGGCTGGTTGGCTGTCAGGCAATTGGCCCCGAACTTGGTTAGGTCGTACTCAATCTACTCCTGTCGAATGGTGGGTGTACCAGCTCCTGGTTGCGCTGCTTCAGCCTCGCTCCGCTACCACGCGAATGTATCAGGACAGTAATCGTGAGGACCGGACTCTGTTTCACAGTGAGCGGGCGAACGCTAGAATCCACTACTGTGTCACACCGCCACATAGCGGTTACAGCACTTGAAGCAAACGGAAGTCTTTGTACAGTAGCATGGGGTCTGCTATCGATGCACCTCCCCTCCTCCTTCTCCTCATTCTCCTCTATTTCGACTGGCTCCGCCTCCAGCACCTCCTCCGCCCGCATCTCTCTTCCCCATCCTCTCTCCAACTACTCCTCCCGCCTCATCATACCGCTTATTGTTGCCAGTGGGCGCGGAGGCGATAATAGTACTGCTGCGCTCGCCTCCACTACGCTAGCCCCCGCGAGTGCAGAGGAGGAGCCCGTCGGCGCCCTGGGCAGTCTCCGCGCGCGTCGTGTTCTGCCAGACTCCCCTTGCTTGGGAGCGTCTCATACGCAAGGCATCCATCCTCCCGGGACGTGGTTGAACAACTCCGCGAGCTGCGCGTCGGACGTTTGAGGTGGCCCTCCGCCGTGTCAAGGCCTCCTCCACTATCGCTGGTGAAGGGCGGCGCCTCTGCAGCTCTATGACCACAAGAGGCACTGGAACTGTAAAGGCATGAATGCCGACCTCTGCTCCCGCACTCGGAGAGAGATCGGGAGCACAGGGCGAAGGGAAGTCCACCCGGTGGTCTGCACGCCGCACGACGCCGACTTGCAGGATCCTGCCGTCGATGGGCGGCAGAAGAGGTCCGCCGTCGGTGGCAGTGGTGCCGACGAGCTCGCGATGCTTGTGCACACTGGCCCGCGAAGGGACCACCAAGGGCCCGACGGGCCATGGCAAATTCTCTCCAAGCGGCCCCCTGGACTCACGACTGCCCAAAGGACCCCCTGCGAGGCGAGGACGGCCCTGACCAATGACCTACAGCAGTCAGGCTACTGCAAGGAGGATTCCACAAGGAACGCAGCCACTCGGAAGCCCCAGTTAAGCCACAAGCGCCTGGGTGCAGCAGGAGCGCCAGAGGCCAGCACCCACGAACCGGAGCTCAATCCAAGCTGACGTGAAACCGTTATATTCTCCTGTCTCCCTCCTCCCCGGGAGCACCCAGAGGTCTACGGAGGTCCACGAGGCCCCGTCGACCCCTCGAAGTCCCAAAAGCGGCAGGGAGCGCCCCAGTCTCTAGATCATCCCTTCGCTCCACTGTCCGATCCTCGAGCACCTCTCCTCCCTCCTCCTTCCCGTCGTCCTTCTAACCGTCATCCCTTCTGGCCCTCCATATGCCCCTCACATCCCCTCCCCTGGGCGCCTTGCCTCCAGCCCAGACCACCGACGCCACGATGCATCCGTGGCTTAGGAAGCCACGATCTTTCCGTGGCGCCGACTGCATGGTCCCGGCTGCACTGCGGCCCCAAGGCGCTCCACGGCCGTCTGCGGAAGCCCTGAACCAGAAACTGATGGCACCTCAGGATTCGAGTGTTGCTAGAAGTGCCCCTGGCCCAATGTGCCCACAGCTGTTCGCTCCATTTTGAAGCTCCTGAGGCCCTCTGGACCTCGTGTGTCGCCGCGCCTCTTGTTCTCGACGCGCCGAAGTGGACGACGCGGACACCATGTCAAACCCACGGCAAAGTCTGCGCCCCGTGCCCCAAGCAGACAACGCCAGCACCGCGGCGAACCCCACGGCGAGCCCTGCGTCCGAGGCGGACATTGCCCTGAGGTGGCCGAGGCCGCGCGTCGGAACAGATGGCGCGGCGACGTTTAGGATGCCAAAATCAAGACATGCAGAAAGGGCCCGACACGCAGCAGCGCCCTGCGCGAAGATCCATCAGCTGTGTTCTGGGCATGCTCGTGGGCGTTGACACCGTCGCCATGGGGATGTCTGATCGCCCAATTCGGCGGCGAGCGAGGGGGGGAAGTGAGAAGGAGAAGGCCTTCCCAGAAGGCGGCGGGACTTCTCGTAAGCACTCGCCCCTTCTGAGAAGCTTTCTGTGTCTTCGGGGAAGGATTTGAACACGTCTCAGATTACCAGGGGACTTCCGAGCCTTCTGAGAAGACATTCTCCTTCCCACTTCCCTCCTGGGCTCGCCGCCGAGAAACACATGGTTTCATCGTTCCGCCTGCGAGTTTGTCCTCGACCTCCATTCTGCACTGTGCGGCCGAGTCCCCGGGGCCACGCCTCCGCAGGGGAGCATCTGGGGCGCGGGCCACAGGTCGCTGCCGGCTGCCTGCGGGAAACCCCGGCGGCGGGAGGGAAGGGGCCACAGCGGACTGCTGCCCAGCGAGAGCTGGGCGGGAGGCTGGAAACAGCTCGGGGCGCTGCAGTTTGGAAATGCGGGACGTGGTTCGCCTGTCGCGCAGGGGGCCTGAATGGACCCCTCGGGGTCCACGCTGCGAAAAGGTCACGATAACTCGGGTCTGAGAGGACAGGGGCAGAGCGTTCACGCATCAGGGCCGGCAGGAGGCGGCGAGGCATGCAGGGGCATGCCGCGAGGAGAGTAAGGAGAAAAAGGAGGCGATGTTGCAAGAAGGGGGGAGAGGGGATGGAGGAGGAGGAAGCATGAAGCGCGCCGACGGCCATGACCCGACACGTCCGCTCCTTCTCGCCCGCTTCCCCCCCCCTCTTCCTGCCCCCATCCCTCCACATGCAGGCTGCCCCCTCCCTCCAGTGTAGGCCACGCGCGCCCCGAGGGCCACTCGACCGCGCGCTCTTCCCCGCCCAGCGCGCCCCTGGCGGTGGAAGGCCGTGCGCGTGCGGACGGCACGCCTGCGCCCCACCCCCCCCACCCGAAGGGCGCACAGCTCGCCAGGACGGACGTCTGCCCTGGGGGTCCACCCTGGCCCGTGCGCTGCCTGGCCGCCCCGGGGCCCGAGACGCGCCTCCCGAGGCCCGAAGAGGGCGGAAATGCCCGTGCTCGAGCAGCCCCCCCTGTTTTGAGGGCCAAAAATACACCGCAAGAAGAACCACCCCGACTCGGGAGCGGCCAAGAGGGGGGTGTCCAAGAGGGGGGGGTGCAAATCATGACCGGCGGCATGTGCGCGACCCAGCGGGGGGGCCAGGGACGTAATGAAATAAGAAGAGGCGCCATGAGATCTGGGGAAATATCATGGCCCCCGCCATGATATCCACCCCCCCCTAGTCATCACCCCCCTCTTCTCCGCCCCCGACCGACGAGAGAGGCCGTGCAGTAAACGAAAACAAATGGAGGAATCGAGCGGGGCAGGGATGTTCGGCAAACGCCCAGGGCCGTCTCGTGAACGCCAGTTATCGGGTCCGGGTGTTTTTTTCTTCCCTGGACCGTTTGCTCGGCAGCCGACTGCGCGGCATCCCACAAGACAGAGGGCACGTGGCAGCCCGTGGGGACAGCGTGACCAAGCGGGACCACAGCGGCAAGGCGGCAGCCAGAAATGGGGCGAGGAGGCATGCCGAACGCCCGCCTCTCCTCCCTCTGCTCCTCCTCCCACCTCCTTCCTCCCTCGTCCCTCGCCACTGCTCCGCCCTCGTCCTCGTCCTCCTCCTCCTCCTCCTCCTCCTCCTCCTCCTCCTCCTCCTCCTCCTCCGTCGCCTGGACCAGCGGGGAGGCGCCTCCTCCCCACTTGCTCCTCCCGCTCACTCTGTATCTTCCTCCTCCTCCTCCTCCTCCCTCCTCCTCCTCCTCCTCCTCCTCCTCCTCCGCCCCTCCTCCTCCTCCTCCTCCTCTCCTCCTCCTCCTCCTCCTCCTCCTCCTCTCCTCCTCCTCCTCCTCCTCCTCCTCCTCCTCCCCTCCCTCCAGGAGAGGGAGCCCTCCCCTCCTCCCCCTCTTCCCCCTCTCCCTTCCCCCCCCCCCCCTCCCGGCTGCCTCGACCAGCGGGGAGGCGCCGCCCAGCGCCCGGAACCTCCCGAGCGCCGCCCGCAGCGCGGGGCCGTCCGCGGGGGGCAGCCGCCTGTCGGCCGTGCTGCGCTTGCTGCTGCTGCTGCTGCTGCTGCTGCTGCTGCTGCTGCTGCTGCTGCTGCTGCTGCTGCTGCTGCTGCTGCTGCTCGGGCGCACCCCCGCACGCAGAGGGTCGAGGACGTGAGGATCGCACGCCGCGGACCCAGACCCCCTCGAGCAAGGAAAAGATCACGACGGGAGGTGTTTCACTATGTTCGGCCTCTGTGGGCCCTGACCGGGCCTCGGGCCCGTCAAAAAACGACTCAGGATGAAACACCGATCTCAGGGAGTAGGTCGAAACCTGTGGGGTCGACGTCATAAAAAAACACATAAGAAAACCCAATCAATGGAAAAGTTAAAACATATACTATGGATCTTGAGATCGGTTGCGAGATCGATAATGAGATCGATAGTGGAATCGATAGTGAGGACGATTGCAAGGTCGATGGTGAGACCGAGAGTGAAATCGATTCAATGAGATCGATAGTGAGATCGATCGCGAGATCGTTCATGCGATCTCTAGTGAGATCGCTTGAGATTGATCCTGCGATCGATTGTGAGATGATCTCACAATCGATCTCACTGAGATCGATGGTGAGATCGATCGATCGATCGAGACATCGGTAATGAGATCGATGAGACCGATCGATAAGAAGATCGACCAAGAATCCGGGAACCCAAGAACCTCGCCGCCCTCCGAAATCGGCCCAAAACCCGGAACCGGGATCCCGGGAACCGGGAACCCGGGAACCCGGGAACCCAGCGTACGACCAAAATCGGCGGGGCACTTTCGCCAAATCCTTCAACGTCCGCGAGGACCCTTCACAGTGCAAGCACTGGTTGGGGAATCATGACTTCGGGGGTCTGGTGAAGGCACGGGCACGGCCACGGCCTGCGTCATGCACCGCACGGGTGCTGCAGGGCGGGGCCGAGGCCTGCATTTTAAAGTACAGGCTCCTGCAGACAGGGTGAGACACTGCGCACGCCACGGCACGACACTTGAACGCAATCAGAACTGAAAGGTTCTGTTGAGGAGAAAGGAGAGAGAAAGAGAGAGAGAGAGGGAGAACAAACAAAAAACAGGGAGAGAGGAAGAGAGGGTCGCACGGTTAGAGAAACCTGGGGGGGGGGGCGTCGGCGAGGGCCCGTTCGTCACTGCAGGGTGGCCGGGCACAGACCGCCCCGCAGGTTAGCGCAAGGGCCTCCCTGGTGAAAAGATCGTCGTCCTCCTCGGGCCTCTGGCGGGAGGCGAGCATGGGCGGGGGCGAGACGGGGCCAGTATACCCGGACAGATCGGGGATCTCTGCAGGTCCGGCGGTTCCGGAGGATGTCTCGGGCGCCGCGTCCTCCTCCTCCTCCTCCTCCTCCTCCTCCTCCTCCTCCTCCTCCTCCGCCGCCTCCGCCTCCTCCTCTTCCTTCTCCTCCTCCTCCTCCTCCTCCTCCTCCTCCTCCTCCTCTCCTCCTCTCCTCCTCCTCCCTCCTCCCTCCCTCCCTCCCTCCCTCCCTCCCTCCCTCCCTCCCTCCCTCCTCCCTCCCTCCCTCCCTCCCTCGAGAGCGCTCCGGGACGCTCGGAGAGCGCTCCAGGACGCTCCGAGAGGGGACGGCTCGGTGAAGAAGTGGCGCAGGACCCTAAACAGCTTGACACCGCAGCTGCCCTGACACGCAACACGCAACACGAGGCGATGCGATGCGATGCGACCACCGTTGCGGAGAGCGTCCGGGCCTAGAGCAGACCAGGTGGGTGAGGCCATGGCCTCGAGGATCTGAGGTGTCTGGATTCATGCAATGCGAGACATGTACAAGTTAGGAGGAGAGGGGGAGGAGGAGGAAAAGAAAGTCCTTGGTGTCGGTGTCGGCGCGGGTTGGGCGAGACGTCTCGACGTTCGCAGAGATTTTGCGTCATTGGTCGGAGTCCCGGGTGCTGGTCGACGTGAGGTCGGTGAAGTGGTGCTCGAGCTCAACACGCAGACCGAACAGGTAGACCCGACGCGACGCGCTCGCCAAAACGTGGGCCACAACGCTGAGCCAGCACGCAGCCTGTGAACACGGACGTTTTGAGCGCAGTACTTGCTGCGTTTGACGACAGACGTATCGAGGCAGCTAAGCTGAGGTCGGGCATGTCCCCCTACAGGCGGGTTCAGAATGAAAAATAACACATCGTCAGAACAAAAACTCAAAACCAGCCAACAGAGAAGACAATCGAAATGTCATCCCCCGACCATGTGTTGGACTGCTGTTGAATATAGAGGGACACGCCCGACTTCAGATACTACAGGCGGATTCCTCCTCCTCCCCCTCCGCCTCCGCCTCCTCCTCCTCCTCCTGAAGACCTTGGCGCCTCGCCCCTCCGCGGGCTCTCCGCCTCCTCCTCCTCCTCCTCCTCCTCCTCCTCCTCCTCCGCCTCCTCCTCCTCCTGAAGACCTTGGCGCCTCGCCCCTCCGCGGGCTCTCCTCCTCCTCCTCCTCCTCCCCCTTCTCCTCCTCCTCCTCCCCCTCCTCCTCCTCCCTCCTCCCTCTCCTCCCTCCTCCTCCTCCTCCTCCTCCTCCACCCCTCCTCCTCCTCCTCCTCCTCCCCCTCCTCCCCCTCCTCCTCCTCCTCCTCCCTCCTCCTCTCCTCCTCCTCCCCTCCTCCTCCTCCTCCCTCCTCCCTCCTCCCTCCTCCTCCTCCTCCCTCCTCCTCCTCCCTCCTGAAGACCCTGGCGCCTCGCCCCTCCGCGGGCTCTCTCCGCCCGGTCCCTTCCGCCCGCGGGCCCTCCGCCGGCCGGCCCCTCCGAGCGCAGTCCGGCGTCGGGATTGGACGGGTCATGACCCGTCCCCAGATGGTCTGGTACCGGAAATTTTCGGTAGCGATTTCGACGCACCCCGAATTTCGGTAGCGACAGGATCTTCGTTTGAGGGCGTTGAAATAGCGGATTTCAGAACGCTCTGATACCGGTATTGGGCGCTACATTTCGGTATTTCGGTAGCGACCGATCTCTGCGGAGCGCTACCGGAAATTTTCGGTAGCGGACAATCAGGGTCCACCCTGACTCTGGATCCGCCCTACTTTGGCTTTTTCTCCAACTTGGAATTGCGTCGGAAATCCACCTATAGAAGAGGCCGACAAAGTAGGGCGGGAATTGCTGCACCCAACATAAAATGGGGCGGAAATCCACAGAGAAACAGCTACAGAAAAGTAGGGCGGAAATTGGCATCAGCGGGGCTTGAAAAGTAAGGCGGAAATTCCAAGCCCCACTTACGAATTTCCCAAAAGTAGGGCGGATCCGGAGTCAGGGCAATCCGGGAGCGTCCGGACGGGTCAACGCCGGACTGCAGAGC